GTAACAACAATAAAATAGGTGTCATCGCTCAGAACAGTGAAAAATTTATTAATATCAGTTTTGAAAGTTTGAGTGTTAAAGACACTTTCGGGTTTTTAACTGCTTCATTAGATAAGTTAGTTTCAATGAGTAAGTATGATAATACAGATGAAGAAGATAAAAGTAAATGGTTATTGCGTGAAGACTGGAAAGATAATTTTAGGTTCAGTAGTAAAAATGATGTGATTAAGAGTGAGAAATGTCTAGATTTATTAACTGATAAAGGCGTTTATCCTTATGACTACATGAATTCATTTGATAAATTTGATGATGAGCAATTACCGAGTAAGGATGATTTTTATAGTCAGTTGAGTGAAGAAGGTATAAGTGTTAACGACTATGAAAGGGCAAAAATTATATGGAAGCATTTTGACATTAAGAATATGGGTGAATACCATGATTTATATTTGAAAACTGATGTATTATTATTGACTGACATTTTCGAAAATTTTAGAGATGTATGTATGAAATATTATGGATTGGACCCTGCTTATTATTATACATTGCCTAACTTTGCTTTTGATGCTATGCTTAAAATGACTGGTGTAGAGATTGATTTAATATATGACCAAGAAATGTATGAAATGATAGAAGCGGGACTTAGAGGCGGGATGTGTATGGTTTCTACTAAAAAAGTTGAAGCAAATAATAAATACATGGGAGAAGAATATGATAAAAATAAAGAAAGTAGTTATATTAACTATTTTGATGCTAATAATTTGTATGGGTTAAGCATGATACAAAAACTGCCATATAAAAATCTAAAATGGGATGATACATTAAAAGAAGAAGACATTATTAATTATAAGAATAATAATATTGGATATATTCTAGAAGTGGACTTAGAATATCCTAAAGAATTACACGATTTACACAATGACTATCCAATGGCACCTGAGGTTATGAATGTTAAAGCCGACATGCTGTCAGATAAACAAATTGAAATTTATGAATTTTTAAATCATAAAAAACCTACGGATGAGAAAACAAATAAATTAGTATTGAATTTAAATGATAAAGAAAAATATGTAATCCATATAAGAACCTTGCAATTTTATTTGAAGCAAGGCTTAAAACTTAAGAAAATTCATAGAGCAATTAAATTTGAACAAAAAGAAGTTTTAAAACCTTACATTGAGTTTAACACTGAGAAGAGGAAGAATGCTAGAAATGATTTTGAGAAAGATGTTTATAAATTGATGAACAATGCCATATTTGGAAAAACAATGGAGGATAAGCGAAAACATTTAGACTTTGAAGTTGTGAGTGATGAAACTAGATATATGAAGTGTGTAAGTAATCCTAACTTCAAACATAGTCATATCATTAATGAAAATTTGGTTGGAGTTGAAAAGCAAAAAACAAAGTTGAAACTAGACAAACCTATATTTATTGGGATGAGTATTTTAGATTTGAGTAAGCAACACATGTATAAATTTTATTATGACGTTATGAAGCCTAAATATGGAGATAATATTAAAATGGTATATACTGATACTGATAGTTTTGTATTTCATACTAAAACCAATGACATTTATGAAGACCTGAATACAATTAAAAAAGAATTAGATTTTTCAGATTATCCTAAGGACCATAAATGTTATGATGAGAATAACAAGAAAGTATTAGGTAAATTTAAGGATGAATTAAAAAGTAAAATAATAACAGGGTTTATAGCTCTTCGTCCTAAATGCTATGCTTACTCAGTTTATGGTGATGATAAAAAATATAAGAAATGTAAGGGCATAGCAAAAGGCACAGTAAGACGTCAAATGAAATATGAAGAGTTTGAGACGGTTTTAAAAACTAATGAGGTTATACATAAGTCATTTAATAGTATTAGAAGTAAAAACCACAGAATTTTTAGTATAACAACTAAAAAAATTGCTCTTAGTAGTTATGAAAACAAAAAATATTGGACAGATAGTGTAAACTCACTTGCTTATGGCCATTATAAAATAAATTCTTTGAAAACGACTTAAAGAAATATTGACTTAATATATTAAGAGGAAAAATGACACTGTTTAATTATAGTAAGTGTGAATGTTGTAATAATAAAAAGAATGATATTAATTTTACATTGTATAACTTATTACCTGCTAATCTGTGTAATAAAATAAGTGAATATGATGTATATTGTAATCAATGCTGTATAACAAGAGACCTTGAAAAGTTGTTTGTTGAAGAATATAAGGATAAGGGATATACAAAGTTTCAATTAAAATTGAAATTCTTTATGAAATATCGCAAAAGATTTCCTGTATATTTTTGTCATAAAATTGATAGAGAGTCATTTGAAAAAGAAATTGATGAGTTTTTTAATAATAAAGATTTAATTAAAAGGTTTGGAGGAGAACTAAGCATTAAACCATATAAATCATTTGCTAAAGAATTTAGTGATTTGTTTGAAGAGATTGATTGGCATTTATTAAGCAAAGATAAAATAAACAAGGTCTTGAATGAATTTAGAATAACTAAATATCATGTATGGTATTACTACAACACTAAATATAAAGTATGTCTATTGCTGTATTTATTCTTTTGGGAATATATTTATTCGATAATAGGAAAAGACAATATCAAATATATAGACATTAATGATATTGATAAATATGTAGATTACATATTTGAAGACATATTGCCTGACTGTTATCTTAAATCCTTAATTCTTAATTGAAATATAATTATCACATGTAAAATATTATATGTTATAATTGTAATATATTTATCGTTTGTAAAGATTGAATTATTATATTTTCTTAATTTTCTTGTGTGCTTTGACTGTTTGGTTTTGTGGAACTATTAGGTGAAATGTGTTTTAGTCATATTTTTAAGTCTGAGTGAAAAATTCGTGAACAATGAATAAGGTAAAAAGAACAAATGAAGAACAACTGGAGTTTCTGAGAATTGGAAAAAGACTTAAAATATAAAATGAATAAGGGTAAACAAATAGTAAAATGAAATAGGTTAAGTAGTGGAAAAATAATGGATAAGGTGTGTATCTTTTCTAGGAATTACTTAGAATGAATAAGGTTGTGATTTATTAACCTTATCTATTATTTGATACTTGGTTTTTCAATGTGTTTTTCATTGGTTGATAGAAAAAATAGTAAAAAGATTTTCAGTTCCTTCAAATCCCCTTTTACTATTGGGGCTCCATGACTAGCAGGGAATGCTTTCACGCGCTATGCTTGTGTCCCAAACGTCTTACGCCGTTCAGCGGGCGTTCCGCGTTTCCTCGCTTTAGCGCACAGATAGATTGCTGCTGGGCGAATGATAGATGTATAAAGAAACACACAAACCCCACGACGGCGCCCTCCGAAGAAGCGACGCAAGGCTCGATGGCGCTGTCCCTCGGCTCCTACCCTACCCGGATGAAAAGCAAGTGAGAGACGAAAAGACTCGCTAGTGCCCAGCTGTGTGTTCCCTGACCTGCGAACCAACGACCACAAACAGCCCAACGAAGGCCCGATTAAAACACAAGATATACAAGAGTTGCTTTCAAAGATTTGCAAGGTTCTCACCAGCGCAACGCAACTGCTTGCAACAGATTGCACATTTGTCGGCAGGCAACCTATGTTCAAGCACCATCTGGCGCAAGAGAACAGGTTTTCTGGCGCCAACAGATCCTCCGAGAAACCCTGGCACGGTGAGCTGACAGCATTGCGTTGCCTTCATGGAAATTAACATTTCCTGTGTGGCCAGCTTGACTGGCTTGCCCAGACGGGTTTGCTCCAGCGCGCCAAGACCACAAAGAACTCGATTGCGTTTTTGTTATTTTTCTTTCAATATCTTGCTTTCACCCATCCCCGCCGGATCCAGCGGCAACATACGGGCCAGAGCCCACAGACTCCAAACTCCAAACAGATTCTAGATCCGTTTGGTTCATGATGGGACGCAGCAGCTCCTTCCGGTTTTCTTCAAGACCGCCTTTCCAGCATGGCCACAATCATTGACTTGAAACTCACACAGTGAGATTGGCAGGCAAGGGTTGCGCTGTGGCCGACGCACCATGCTGCTGTTTGCTGACGACTGCCTGGTCCTCGGTCAGAAAGACGCAGTCCCTTTCCACTTCGGTCTCGCGGGCGCCCATCTGGGCTGAACGACTGGCGGCTTGGAGCGAAGAACGAGAAAGTGGCTTGAGCATCCAAGTGGCTGGCGCAGTCCGCAAGGAAGGCGGCGCCGACAAAAGAGATTTTGTTGTGTGGCAGCGGATGATCTGTCCAAGTTTGGTACAGATGTGGAAATCCAGTTGATTTGGTCCCCAACATAGGCGTAGTTTGCATCGCAAGGGGCGATTGTGATAGCCATGATGGTGATGAGGATGAGGATGACTGTCGCGATAGCTGATGAGAGCAGCCAAGCCGCGTTCCTGAAAAGAAGCTGTCAGCAAAACAAGCGTCAGGGTACGCGTGCGCTCCAGTCTCCTTGAGGGGGGGGGCGCTTGAGCAAGCAGAGAGTTGCTTAATGAGGCGCCTCCATCATGACGGACTTGAGACATTCTACTCCGGCAGCAAAACAAGTGTCAGGGCATGCGCGCGCACCAGTAGCGCACAACCTGCGTAACACGCGAAACCACGTCTGAAAGCCACTCGACGGTTGTTTTGCAAGAGC